TAGGCAACTCATGTGATATTTCAAATAAAAAATAATTCAATTCTTGACCACCAACACACAAAGTTTACTCAGAAAAAGGAGCAATGGGTCAATTCATGAGATCCTGGCAAATGTGCATTAGCAACTGAATGGAAGTCTGCTACAGGGAAAAGGAAGAAACAAAGCTGTGTGTGGTTTACAAGGTGGTGGGAAGGGCCCCTACTATGTCCCTGCCCCATCTTCTTCTATCACCTTCATTCTCCTGCACAATTACATTGCATTACATCCCCCCCCCCCCCAGCTGACTATATTGTGCCACATTTGTTAGTATAGACAACATGTCTTAATGAACACTTTCTATATTACTAGCCTTGTGGTAGGCATTAAAGGTAAATGAACAGCACAATCCCCGCTCAAGAACTCGTCATCTGGGAGTAAAAACTGTTAAGTAAACAAAAATTTAAAAGATCTAGTGTTCTGTGTACCTCATGCCTTTGGACACAGAGGGCCACCCAGTTCAGCCTGCATAGGTCAGGAAAGGATTCACAGTTATCTGCCTTGAAGGAGAAGAATGAGAGAGCTTGATGAAGAAAGTGAGAAGGATGCTCTGTGTAGAGAGGACAGCATATTCAAAGGAGTAAACTAGGGAGCATAGAACTGTGTTGCAAGCTGTTGGTAAGTCTGAAAGTGTCAGCATCTATCTCCTAAGAGCAGTGGGATTCCCCTGCCTGTCCATAATGTAATTATCACACTCAGGTATCTCAACATTGGTACAGTTTAATTTTTTAATATCAAGTGCACTGTAAAATGTATCCAGTTATCTTAATAATGTCATTATAACCTTTTCACTTTTCAAGAGCTCACCAAAGATTGTGTGATACATTTACTTGACATGTCTCTTTAATCTTTAATCTAGAACAGTGCCCTAACCTTTTTTTTTTTTCCTTTTCATTTCTCTCTTGGCCATTCATGATATTCATGATTTTTAAGAACCAATGTGATTTCAGTTATGTGGAATATAAAGAACAAAATAAACGAACAAAAAAATTGTAACAGACTCAGACACAGACCCTAGACTGGTGGTTGCCAGAGAGGAAGAGGGTTGGGGAATTGGGTGAAAGAGGTGAAGGAATTAAGAAGTACAAATTGGTAGTTACAGAATAGTCATGGGATGTAAAGTACAGTATCACAGGATAGTCAGTAATCTATACTAATAAAAGCCTAGGTGGCATCTCACCCTCACATCATTACAAGATGGTCACACCATGTTGTCACAAGGTGGCCGCCTCCCTGTTGTCACAAGATGGTGGGCAGGGGAGGGCAGTTGGGGGCTATCAGGCTGGCAGGGAGCAGGTAGGGGGTGATCAGGCAGGAAGGGGAGTGGTTAGGGGGTGATCAGGCAGGCAGGCAGGCGAGAGATTAGGAGATAGCAGTCTCAAATTGTGAGAGGGATGTCTGACTGCCTGATCACCCTGCAGGATGGGGCCTAAACCAGAAGTCAGACTTCTCCTGAGGGATCCCATATTGGAGAGGGTGCAGGCTGAGCTGAGGGACACCCCTCCACTGCACGGATTTTGTGCACCAGGCCTCTAGTCTATATAATAAAAGCCTAAGCGACTATTAACAGTGGAACAACCAGAACTGCGGGTCACTATGATTCTCACTGACCACTGGTGGACAGACACTCAATGCAGGAGCCTGCCCCCTGGTGGTCAGTGCACTCCCCCAGGGGGAACACCACTCAACCAGAAGCCAGGCTCTCAGCTGGTGAGTACAGCGAAGGTGGCAGGCAGTGGAACTAAGCCATCAGTTGGACATCCCTCAGGGAGTTCCATACTGCGAGAGGGCGCAGGCCTGGCCTCTAGCATTGTTATAACTATGTATGTTGCCAGGAGGATATCAGAAATATTGAGGAGAACATTTTGTAAAGTGTTCTAACCATTACTCTGTATGTTTGAAATCAATAAAATAATATTGAAAGTAAGCTGTAATTGAAAAAAATAAATAAATTGAAAATGTTAAAAAATAGAAGAGCTTAGGTCAGGTATCTCACAGAATGTTTCTCACTCAGGATTTGTCTGATTGTTTCTTCCCATTTAGATTCAGGATAAGTACAGTTGTGCAAACTATTACATATGTTATATTGTGTCTGCCTCAGTGCATCACTTCAGAAGGCAGTTGTCAGCATGTACCATTGTTGTGATGTCAGATTTGATTATTTGGGAAAGGTAATATCTACCAGATTTCTCCATATCCTATTCCCCCTAAGCCTTATAGAGATTGGGGTTATGTTGTTGTTTTAAATTTTTTCTTTATTGATTTTTAGAGAGAGAGAGGAAGGGAGGATAAAGAGATAGAATGAGAGAAACTTCATCCATCGGCTGCCTCCTCCTTGCCCCCTACTGGGGATCGAGTGACCTAGAATTGAGCTTGTGACCTCTTGGTTCTAGGATTGATGCTCAACCACTGAACCACCTGCTGGGCCAGATTGGTTTTTGTAATCATTGATGATTTCTGGCAGAATCTGTTCTTACTGTGAGCTGTAATGTAGTGGCTTTCCTATTTCACTCATATCTGTCTCCTTTATATTAATGGAACTCAGCCCTCCTTATATCGTTGACATCTACTAGTTCCCAGTTTACTTTAAGGGAGAACTTTCTCTTGCTCTATGTTTATTTTTTATTATTATCAATACAGATGCATTCTTCTGTTCTTTTTTCCAGTGTGCAACAATCCATTATTACTTATCCAGTGCTCAAATTGTTATCTTGTTCTCAGCCCTAAAATCAGCCATTTTCCTAAGTATTCTGGTTCCTGTTAGCGAGTAATGATACTTAGACACCAAGTTCCAAGGGGTAGGTGTGCATGTTGCTAGTGCATTTCATTACTATTGGGCTCTTTGGGGCCACAAAGTGAGGAAAACTGTTTTTCAAAACCTTGAGCATATATGGCACATTTAAGTCTAATCCACCACTTGATGACTCTTCCTCTCCTTCTACCACTTTATATTTGAATTCCTTTCCTTTAGTGAGCACCCCTGTTGTCACCAACATTTGTACCCATCTGTTCCATCTTACCATATACACATAAGATTTTCAGAATGACTATATTAATGCCATTACCAGTAGAAAACTTACTAAGGAAAATTCAAATTTTCTTTGTAGTTCCTTTTCCCCCTTAAATATATGCCATTTATCTCATGTTTGTTTTTTAGATTTTTTAAATGTTTCCTTTTACTAATGAAATATATTCAACATCTTAAATAGTTGGCATATCTATAGTTCTTTCTAGGAAAAATATACTTGAGTTTGAGTATAAATATTAAAAAATAGGTAGGTAGTTACTAATTAAAGTGTCTGAACTATTTAATGTGTTTTAATTAAAATAGCCATAAAGCCACTTGAGAATTAAATTTGCATATAAATTCATAATTTCCAAATGCTCTATTTATCACCCACTTTTTTTATTACACCTACAAGGTTTAGTACTTTTCTAAGAATATGAATTAGAACCAGATGGAAAAGTGGTTGATGCATATTTATATATCTGTTTATAAACTGTTTTATTTGTATTCTATATTCATTTGTCATCTCATCTGCCCTCTCTCAGGAGATTGCATCTCAAAAAAAGAAAAGAAATTAAAATTCTAGAGGAAAATGGTTTTCTATTACTTTAGACAAAACTATGTACCAGCCATACACATTCATAGAAAACTAGAGGCTTGGTGCACAAAATTTGTGCACGGGGGTATCTGTCCCTCAGCCCAGCCTGCACCCTCTCCAATCTGGGACTCCTCGAGGGTTGTCGGACTTCCTGTTTAGACCCGATCCCAGGCAGGGGAAGGTAGATAGAACTGGATCAGGCCTAATCACCCTTAACTGCCCTTCTCTGCAGGCTTGATCACCACCTAACCGCTCTCTCCTACAGGCCTGGATTTCCCCCTCAACTTCTCTCCCCTACAGGCCTGGGTCTCCCTAACTGCCCATCGCTGCCGGTTTGATCACCCCCAACTTTCTTCCCTTGCTGGCCTGGTCCCTCCCAACTGCCCTCTCCTGCTGGCCATCTTATGATGGCTATCTTGTGTCCACATGGGGGGAGCCATCTTGTGTCTTAGGGTGAAGGTCATTTTTCATATTATACTTTTATTAGATAGGATGCCTACAAGTGAATTCTAAGGTACCAAAAGAGCTAGCATTTCTCTGTATTTCAGTTGGGCAAGTAGTATTGTTGAAGGTTTTTTTTGTTTTGTTTTTTCTGCTTTCTTTAAATATTACTTAACATAGATAACTAGAAGTAGCTATGGTTTCAAGGAAATCTGATATTAGTAGAGAAAAATGGCCCTACAATTGCATCATTAATCATATACAGAATATCAACTTAAACTAATCATAATGTGGTTCAAAAAACAAATCCTCCATTTGGTTTTTGAAATCCTCCATTTCTTCTTTATTATAGAAGACAGACTTTTCATACATTCTGTAAAAATTTATAGTGATTGTTGTATGTCACCTAAAGTTAGGGGTTGATTATCCTCTGATATTAACAATCAATTGTTGGAGTCATGTTCTCAAAAGTTAGCGTGGAAATACAATTTTGTGCAATATGTTTAGACAGCAGAATATCAATAGCACCAACAAAAGCACTTCCACACCTGGTCGATTTTAGAACTAAAGCTGCTGCTTTGAAAATAATCCATTTCTACAAGGGAAATGATATTTATGATAACCCAAGACACAGATATGATGAGAACTACATTCTCTAAAGTTATCGTGTCACTGGCCTATAAAAGCAGTGCTCTGAAGTGAATCAATGGAACTCGGTCCTCATAGTGGACAGTAGCACAGCACTAATGAGACAGATTTCATTAAAGGCTATTTGATTTATGAGAGAAGTAAAGTCCTATCATATTTTGAAATTGCTGGCTTAGTCCTGGCATCTGATCTTATTTCCTCTATCATCACCATCATGGTTTCTGTGTATTCTTGACATTGCTATGGTAACCCCTGCATCTCTTCTCACAGAGGGTGATGAGACAGGAGTGATGGATAGTCTGCTGGAGGCCTTGCAGTCGGGGGCTGCCTTCCGCGATCGAAGAAAAAGGACACCGAAGCCAAAAGGTGAACGTTATTCTTGTTTCATGTTACTTTCTAGGGAACTACCACAAAGAACAGCCCTCTTATAGTTTTTAATTCTTTTAAAGTCATGTGTCAAGAATGTAGTGCCGTGGGCAACCATTCCTCAGAAGTTTCATAAGTTTTCTTAATCCTTCCCTTGCGATGACAAATGTCAGAGAGAAAAGCATTCCAGTTGGCCGGTGTCAGTAGCACATTACAAATCAATGCACTGAACCTAGGAAATCCTGATTAGTGTGACAAGTCTCAGCTGAAGAGCCATATGTACTTCATCCCAGTGGAGTTCACAGTAGCATAATTAAATGGGAAGTAAAAGTCATAACATTATTGCTTTGCTTCTAGATATACTTAAACTTGGAAAATATACTGTTACACTTCTTGAGATGAACAGACCTCTATATTAAACTTCTTTTATATTTTTGTTTTAACAGATATTCGGCAGAGTCTCAGTCCCATGTCTCAGAGGCCTGTTCTGAAAGTTTGTAACCATGGTAATAAACAGTATTCATAAATTGCACATTCTTCTTATCTACTTTTATCCCATTGATCTGTGATTTCAGTAGACTGCTGTGAAGTTCTCAAGTTTCAATATAACTATAATAGTAAAAACGTGTGGATCTACACATTTGTTATAAGATTGTATACTCAGATTCTGCTGCCTGACAGTATTGCCTGAGCTAGTGTTTAGAGTTCTTCTTTTAGGTCTTGAGTGAATTTTTTTATTATTTGAAATTACTTCAGACATTTCTGATCATTGTCGTCCAGTGTACTCTTTCAAAAGCATTGTGCTTTCATATTACTATTTTAAGTAGTGGACTTACTGTACATGGAGATGCAATTTGAAATGTTGAATTGTTACCTATTTTACTCGATGACATTTGCCAGTACAGTTTGAAATACTATGACCCGCATTTTGACAAAATTATTAATGCAGATGAGCTTCATATGATATTATTATGGATGGATGTGCTAGAATCACTGAAAAGGTGAGTTAACTTAGTCTCTGGTATTTATGATATTGAATCCTTTCAGAAATCTCTACCCAACTACTGCATACCAGTCTCAAGATGCCGGTTTGTGTTGATTGATTTTATTTACTTTATTTCCCTTTTTCTCACTGTTAAGTATTATGGGGTTCTGTTTACCTTCCTTAGTCAAAACATAATTCACCCATTGTGATTGCCATTTCCTCAGGGTGAGAGTGTCACCAACTTCACCAGATTTCTAAATGGAAAATACTTGACAGATTTGGAGTGCAGATGAGTTAAGTAGTTAAGTTTTAGCACTAATTGTGATGCATGAGTAGAGAAATGTATCAAATTTTTAAGAGAGTCTAAAATAATTATGAGGTAAGTAAAAGACATGGTTATGATGATCTACTGCTCAAGGTAAAGAACATATAATAGATGCTTTAAAAAGAAGAGGAAAGGTGAAACCCTACAGCAAAGTTTTATATAGATCTTTTGACATTTTTCAACAGTAAGTTTTTGTTGTTGTTTTGCCTTCTCCTGCTCTAATAGTAAAAAATAATTGTAAGAAATCAGATAAATTTGTTGTGGATCATTAATTCCTTATTAGAGTTTACGGTTTAGAATTATTGTGACATTCGAAATAATGGCAAACAGTGTAGAGGACAGTGTTTTCCTGGACCTCATAGATAATGTGTTTCATAGATGGAAACTCAGGCTAAAAACTTCTCAAAACTACATATCTAGTTATTGACACAGTTAAGGCCATGTTGCAGTTCTGATTTCCATCGCATTTTTCTTTTGGTTATATATAGATCCTTTGATTATTTTTTATTAGTAGTAAAATAAAATAAATAATGCAGCCCACATTGTAAGTCATTAAAGCATAGGCAACACGATGGTCATGATCTATACTAATAAAAGGGTAATATGCTAATTAGACTTGGTGACCAGACATCTTCCGGATATCCTACTTCCTTCCAGACAGTTAGGGAGCAACCAGGCCACCAGGGGAGCAGTTGGGGAGACAGGGAGGGCGCGATCAGGCAGGCAGGCAGGTTCCAGATTGCAAGAGGGATGTCCTGGGCCTCTAGTATGATTATAATGGCATATCTATACCCCTGCCATGCTGAAGTTTAAATAAATACTTTAGATGTAATGTAGGGGGAAATTACTTAAGATAAATTTGTGCCCTGGCCTCAGGGACCCAGTCCTTCTGTGACTGTCATGCTAGGAAAGTGTCCAGGCTCCTGTAAATTACATATATAAATTGTGATGTTTCAGTCCATTTTGTAAAAGCAGATAAGCAATGCATTTCCATCTTTACTAAACCTGATATATACTATCTGAAGTCCTAGGCTATTGTAGGTTATAGAGCCAGCCAAAGGAGATATAACACAAATATCAAATTCTCTATTGTAATATAAATGTAGTGGGTTGACATGTTTTTTAAACTTAATTTTTTATTTATATTTCTGCTGTGTTTTCACTTCACATTTTTAAGCAAGTGAGAGAAAAATCCAAATGACCAAATTAATCTTTTAAGAACAGTATGTAAAAGATAGATTTATTAGAATGGATGTTGAAAAATGAAGAATATGAAAAGGAAGGAATATTACAAGGATCATGATTATTTTTACAAAATGTTGACATTTCAAGCCTATTTGTAATTTTCTATTTCTGAAAATTATTTTCATTGAAAACTGAACTATGTGATTGAAATGTAACACATAATCCCTTTTACTTTTTGTTTTCATGTACTTAAACAAAACTAGTGTCTGATACTTATACTTTCTACAAATATACAGTAGTTGATAGTATGTTGTAAACTGATATTAAAAGATTTATAAAATTTTCTGTAGGGTTATTACATGCCAAGCACTATGCTGAATGTTTCCTATTTAATCTTTTCAGTACTATTACCAAGTAGTCACTACTTTAGTCTCCATTTTATAGTTGAACATAACTAAGGATTAAACGGGTTTGATAGTTTGCTTAGGCCCTGGGCCTGTCTAGTTCTTAATCTCTCTGCCATGTTGTGTTCTGAATGTAGCTGTTCAAATCCATATCTGTTGTTCCCATCCTTGAGCCAATGCATATGTGTACATTTTTTTCCTCATGATATAAGGTTGAACTAGAAAAACCTCTCTGAGGTTTTCAGCCTCTGGTGTGTCTAGTCTCTTATTCCAAGATTGAACCACTATGTATACTCTTTTCCTCTTCTGAGGCTGGATTATAAGGTACATCACCTCCTGGAATTACCCTGTTTCCCCGAAAATAAGACAGTGTCTTATATTAATTTTTGCTCCCAAAGTTGCGCTAGGTCTTATTTTCAGGGGATGTCTTATTTTTCCATAAAGAAGAATACGGTACTCATTTATTGTTAAATGAAAATAAAGGAAATTTTTAACCTGTATATGGTACAGTAGTACAGTAGTTGTCAACAGAAACCAGACAAACTGTGAATCCTACAGTATCAAGAATTTACTCATTTATTCAATGACAATCATATCATCATCTTCTGGAACATCACCATAACAATCCAATTCCTGAATTTCCTGCTGAATTTCTGTGACTCCATTTCTTTCAGAATCAGTGGACCAAATCTCTCATGTTTAGCCTAGGGGGGCCTTATTTTCAGGGGGATGCCTTATATTTCAGAAGGAAACCTGTAAGTAGGTCTTATTTTCAGAGGATGTCTTATTTTCGGGGAAACACAGTACGACTACTTTTTATTCCTTCAATAAACTCTATATTCAAGCATCTATATTCATTAAAATAAATGCATGCTCTGTTAGAAAGATCACAGATGATTTACATATATATACATATACATATACATATACATATACATATACATATACATATACATATACATATATATATATATATATATATATATATATATATATAATCTGGCATATTTATTTTACAATTAGAAAATCCTGGCAAAGTATCCTCTCAGACCTTGGTGTGTGTGTGTGTATATGTGTGTGTGTGTGTGTGTGTGTGTGTGTACACAAAAGATGGCCTCAAGCATTCTAACTTCTGTCAACTTCAGAAGCACAGAATGTACACACTGAGTAACCCAGCCCTTGTGCTGTGCTCCAAACCTTTAACAAAAATACTATGGTTAACGCCTTTACCTGTTTGATCTTTCGTTTTACCTATTAATGTCTAAGCAGAAATTAAGTGTTTGGCATTTTTCCTTGCTAAATCTTCATTCATTAACTTATCAAATTTATTAAACACTTGTTAGGCATTTAAGATATAGAGATACCATCTAAAAATTCACCATCCACTGGGAAGATAGATGAGTAATAATTTTCATACCTGTATATTTGCTTAATGCTGAGTTAAGGGTAACACACAGGGTGTGGGCAAGTATCAAGAAGTCTGGAAGACCAATTCAGGCCTGGCTTCTAGAAGGACCTGAAATCCAAGCTGAGTTTTGAGAAATCAGTAGAAATAAGGCCAAAAACCCAAGGACAAGGGTGAACCAAGAAAGCAACCACACATACGTACTTTCTCAAGAGGTCCTTTCCTTTACAGGGCCATTCTGGTCCCTGTAAAACCATGTGCTCTTATTCTCACAAATAATAACACTCAAATTAGCACCCTAGTCTTTTCCATTTTACAATATTCATTTCCCTAAAAATGTTCTTATTTGATGTCTATCACATTACTCATGAGCTCCTTCAGGGAGCACACAAGGCAATGAAGGAGGGTATCTCTCTGGTCTACTGCTGTGACCCCAGTACTTAGCTGGTCTAATGCCTGATACATGGATGTTTAGTAAGAATGCACAGAATGAACAGACATTTTTAGATTTAGGCTTGAATTGGACAATATATATTGAGAAAATCAGATTTCTCAATATCACCCAAATACTTGGGATTAATATGCAATTGCTAAAGCTTAGGCTGTGAACACAATTAATCCCTCTCATCTCCCTAAAATGGTATCTGAAGGAGCTCCTTGATCATCACTGGTCTTGGCTTCAAAAGGTTGTTAGATCAAATGTGGAAGATGTGGTTTAATTTTGATTGGATTATTCACTCCTGAGAAATGGGGGGTTACTTATGAGTTAAGTTTTTTCACCTTGCTTAATTAAGCAACATTTAACAACAGTAAATAAAACAAAAGAAAGCATTTGCTAATGAGCACAGGGCATTATTTCATTTCCTTACTCAGTAGTGTGCATTCCAGACTTACAGATTTTTCTATAGTCTGTAGAAAATAAAACTCTTTTAAATCAAGATAATCTAAGTGTTGATGCATTTTTATAAAGTTTAGACCTTACTTGAGTTTTGCTGAATCAACTGGCCTAATTGATAATAAAGGACCAGATAGGGGGAAAGTATATCAAGAGTCTAATGCCAGACCAAGAATTTGAACTGTAGAGGTTTTTGAGCCAGGAAATGACAGGTCTGCTCTAACCAGTGTGGCTCAGTTGGTTGGTCGTCATCCCCTGAATGGAAAGGTTTCTGGTTCCATTTTCAGTCAGGGCACATGCCCGGGTA